CAAAAATAGGGAAAGAATTCACACAGCTAACTGCAGATGCAGATGCACCACCCCAACCACCATAGTAAACCCCCCGCCTGGTATATGTACGACTGCATTCTTTGCCCACCCTTCGTTGCACCGGCAGCTGAAAGCAAAACAGGACAAAAATAGAGCAAAACCCAAAGAGCAAACACCGATGGCAGCCATGGCAACAAAACTGAAACATAAGCAATGCAAAGAAAAAACTCAAAATGCATGGCCACCATTTTGAATAACAAGTGCGCAGGGGTAGATGCCCCAAACCCGTGCACCAACGATGCAGCCCATTCTGGAAAATAAAGAAAAGAAAGCCACAGAGAAATGCATTGGACGAGTGCAGTTGGCAAGGAAAAAATGCAGTTCTAGAGGATGGGAAAGGAGCGCAGGATGTGCAGGCCAGCGAAAAGCGACAAAATCAAATGCCGAGAAATAAAATTCCGTGCCCAACAAAAGCGAAACGAGACAAGTCGAAGGTTTTTGCTGCTGGAGTTTCCCCCCTTCACCACCTCTCTTTATCATTGGGAGTTTTTTCCTTGCCGCAGTACAGCAGGTTGAGGGGGAGGGTGATGGGTAAGTCCTGCTCTCTCTGTCTGGGGCATAGGAAAAGCCTATTTCAAAAAATTGAAAATGCAAAATTTCATTTGTGCAACGTGCGGCTCTCCTTTTTCCCATGGATCCGCCCTGGCCAGAGGCAAATGCATTGGTCCTGGACCACCCACTCCAGCTGCTACTCCGGATTCCTGGCTCCTGGCTCCCGGCTTCTGCCTCCTGCTCATCCTTCTTCTGCTGTTGCTGTTGTTTTGGATGAGACCGACTACGACGACGACGACGACGACGACGTTGCCGGGCCGACAAAGCAATTCTTCAGAAATGAAATGTCCTGTCCCAAGCCACCCACTGGCACACTCCCCTTCTTTTTTGGATCACCCACTCCCGCCTGCATTGCATTTCAAAATGGCAACGTGGCTGCAGGATAGCTGGGCAGGATCCTGTGGACCAGCAGCGATGGCGACAACTGTCAGCATCATAAGACTGCACATGAGCCTAGCGCAGGCGAGGCTGTGGATGGGGATGGGGAATATGTGTGGAGTTTGGGTATGGGACAAAACGTAAACAACAAGTTTGCTTTTTGGCACTGCAGTTGGGCACCAAAGTTTTGCACACACACACACGGAAAAGGACACAGAGCCCCAGGGTGGAAATCTGCAGGAGTAGGGTAGTGCAGCAGCATGGGGCAGACAAAGCAAATGCAATCAGCAATGTGTTTTGCTTTTGCTGCCTCTGAGCCCCGTACTGGGGCTAAAATCAGGACCTGTTCGACTGGACTAAGCCTGGAAGTGCACCAGGCTAGGAATCCTGCCCTCCACAATGGAGATCCCTCACCATGAGTCGGTTGAACTTTCATAACTTTTACTTCTCTAGATCGCAAGAAAATTGAGTTTCAAAGGCACTAAGGAAATTAATTAAACGGTCATAAGGAAATTATTGGAATTCTTAAATAGGGAAAACGCAAAAAAGGAAACATAAAACTAATCGTTTTTTAAATTTCAAATTTTGTACTCTATAAATATCTTCTATCAAAGCTTTAAATCTTAACATATTTAAATATTTTTTTTGATTTTTTTGAATATTTGGAATACCTGAAGATAAGTTTACAAGTTCATCCAAAGAGCTAACAAAAAGAAGTTGAACTTTATTTAAATTTCGATTAAACTCCAACTAATTCTGACAATAAAAAACCCTTAAATTGGAAAAATGACTTTCAACATATTAAGCCTTCAAGTCATAAATTTCATGAAGAAATCCATTAAGTAATTTAGAAGTTAAAAACAAACATTTTTCAATTTTTAAGGATCATTTTCAACAACTTTATGTTTTGATATCACAACTTTGTAATTTTAAACTATTTCTTATTAATTTATGAAATACCCACAAGATAAACCCCCAAATTTTATCACTCAGTGTATTCCCCCCACGGTTCACAATAATGCGAAAAACTCTGCAGCTGAAAAATAGAAAGACGCGAGCAAAAAATGTTGCTATTTGCCTACTGCTGCAGAACGGCATCGAAAAAAGTATTCAACGTCCACGAAAGTGTTGCATGACGCCAAAGGGGCGGGACAAGTACCACGCCCCCTTTCGTACCAACTGAATCTGAATCGAAGCTCAGTGCAGTGCTCAGTTCCAAGAAGGGAAAAAGAAGGGGCGGAGTTGGGTCTGGGTTTTGGGTTTGGTGTGGCCCCAAAAAAAGTGAAATCAAAAACTGCAGCAACTGCCGGATGAAGGGACAATGGGTGGGTAACTCTACTTCAGTTCAAGTGAAGGCAGCAAGAAAAAATGCAAGCCAAAGGCTGCAGTAAAAATGGCACAAAACAAGCACCGCTCGCGCGCTGCGACTCACTCCCAGAAACCCCCCCGCCCCCTCCGAAAAAAACTCAAACCCCAAGCCCAAACCCAAAACAAAGCAAACCGAATGAGGAGGACAACGACGAATCAGTGGTAGCAGGACGAGTCCAAGGACCCAGCCCCCTACCAAACGGATGCACATTGTTAGGCCCAGCCAGTGGAATTGGATTGGACACGGGATATGGCCACGGTGCTGTTGCAGCCATGCCAAATCAACGGACTCGTCGTCGAGACGCCTCAGCTGCCCCAGATGTGGAGGTTTTGGTGCGTTGCCATTTGGGGGTGCACAGAAAGTAAATGTCATAGAAATTGCATTTATTTTCTTGGGAAAATTATTCTTTTTACTGTAATATTATTGAAATCTTAGATAAGGAACTTTGACGAAGGCCAACTCATAATCAAGATTATGTAGTTTTCACAGATTAGTGGTTTCTAAACATAAATTTATGTTGAATACCTATATTGATCATTTCTATATTCTCTGTTTTTGATAGTTATAAGTCGATCAGTAACATAGTCAAATATTCCCCTCAGTGTAATTCTTGTTGCTAGTTGCAAGGGTTGGCAATGCAATTCATATAGTGCAAAAAATGCGTGGGGGGTAAATGGGTGAGTGGGCGCCTTGAAGATGTGCCCGGCCAGGCATTTCTGCATTTTGTATTTATTGCACTGGGGGATTGGGTCTGAGGATTCCTGGTTGAGTTGAGTTGGGCTGAGTTGAATTGGGTTCCGTATGCAAAAAGGAAAGCTGCATTTGCCGGGCTTGTGGGCTAGTTCCAGGACATTGGGACAAGGCGACTTCGGCACGTACGCGACGTTGGCAGTTTGGGAGAAATGTGGAAAAATGGAAAATCCAGAAACGCGGATTGTTAAGCTTGGCCATTTTTTTTCGCTAACGTCTGGCGGGGAAGTGGGCGGTCAAGGAGGGGTGGGGCGGGCATGGCACAGGCCTTAATACTGTGGCATTTGTCTTGGAGCTGAAACAACAGACGTTGCCAATGCAGACGCTGAAAAAATGCATAAAACGTTGCAACAAAAGTATGTCTCCCCCGTCAGAAACGTGGAGTCAGGTGCAAGGTGGTTGGTAAAGAATCAGAGGTGGAGACTGCGAGACGCAGCTGCTGCAACGTTGATTTGATGAACATTTCGCTGGGGCAGCTAACGTGACGATGTCTAGTGCGTAATATGCAAAAAGTGCCCACTCAGACGTCTGCCTTGAGGGATTTGAGACTTGACCCTTTCTCTCTTCTCTTTTTTTTTTTTTTTTTCGATTCTATCTCCTCCGCCAGGCAATGCAATCTTTCTTCATTGTAATTTGGCCGGAACTTTGGCCAGGAAAGTTGCTACAGCCTGGACATTGCACTGATTCCCAAAGTGTTGCAATCAAGAAGGGGGAGAATATTTTAGGATATCACTGAGGAAAAATCGCTTTAATAATTAGATTGTGGGAATGATATTCTGGTTGGTTTAGTGGAACGTTCTAGAAAACATGGATGAATGAATATCTTAGAGAAAAGTCCTAATAAAAGGCACCCTTATTCTACTTTATAAAGGCTTTGCCTTTGAGAATATGTTATATTTTTAATACTCAAAAATGGTTTTCCATCTTTTCATCTTCACATATCAACTCAAAGTCTAAGAACTAGTTAATTAAAAGTTAAAAATAACTTTATAAACATTAAGAAAGTTTTTACTGGTAACTACAAATTTCTTTAGATTTCACAAAAACAAACAAACTTACATCGTAGACTTTCTCTATCTGATTTTCCCATCAGAAGATTTGCAATTAAAACTTTTTCTCTGTGTTAGGCTCCAAGGGAGCAGAATCCTTGGAATGGGAGTCAGTTATGCGGCTCGCGCATACAAATTATGCGGAAAGGGAGGAATGGAGCCGGAGGATTGGGATGCAGCAGATGAAATGTACGAATCCATGGACTACCATGGACCGGGGCCATTTCCCTTGCTCGAATCCCATTGTAAATTTGCAATTTTTGCCGAGTGCTGCTCGATGCTTTGTTTTGGGATTGGTTCTGGTCCCAAAAAAGGAAAAGGAAAGGGAAGTCTAGTCGCGGAACCGTTTTTGGCCAAAATGCATTTTGATGTAGTCGACGGCTGGGCAGAAGAAGAAAAGAAATTTGAAAAAAAAACCGCCGCATGCTTTTTGGCAACCCCATGGATTCTGATGGAGGCAATTGCTCGATGGGGGGCATCGGAACCATTGGAACATCTTTTTGTTTAAGGGCAAGGCTGGAAGGGAAGGCTGGCTACCTAATCTGACTGAATGCACTCTTCGCGGAGACAGCTGGCTGGGATGGGGTATATCAAGGGGAAAGGAAAGGGATGAGGAAACTGCCAGGAACTCGCATGGCAAATTTTCCATTATGCTCACTCAATCAAAACTGCAACAAAACAAAAGTTATGAATAGGATTTTAGCCATGGCAAAAGTTTTAGCTTCTGCCCCCCACCCACACTGTGGGGATTTACTTAAGCCATATTTTATCACTCTTCTCATGTGGCAGCTGCAACTTATTCAATTATTTTAATGGAATATTTCTCTCTCCTCTGTTTGCAGATATTACGGAGCCTTCGACGCTGGGTAAGTTTTCAATTTTAATTGGAATGCAAATTGAAATAGTTCTGAGGACTGAGAAATGGTTAGAAAGGATGAAGTTGCCCCCCTTCCCAACTCCAACACCAATTCCATGATCGCATATCGATTTATCCATTGATTGACCTGCCTTAAACGCTTACCAAACTCCGAAACTGTTCCTGGGTGTGGTTAATCGAACTAACGCCAAGGTAAACATGTCGAAATCAACTCTTTCCACTGCAAATTCAGTGTCATTAGGCACTGCATTTGGTCTGACGATTCGCTTTGGCCAAATGCAAAATTGTCAAATATTTACTCAGGCAATTTAGCATGCGGCAGGCGGGCAAATAATTACAAAAACGTTCGGAAAACAAATAACTAATAGAAATGGATGGATGGATGTGCGGGTATTGGACCCTAGTCCTCCCCCCGGGCTACTTTCCACTCTTTTCCACTCAAAACAAACAGCCAGGGAAAAGGAAGTGAAAACAGAAAGGGAAAACAGAGAACGAATCGCGGAAATGGGGAAACACCGCAATGACAAAACAATTGAACAATCGAAATAAACCAACCAACCAAAATAAAACAATATAAAACAAAGAAAAAACAATACGAAATTTCAGCAACTTCAATGGGTTTTTTTTTTGCAATCAATATTCTAAGTCTTTAATGTTAATGTTAATTGATTAAAATGAAATGCATAACGAAAGAAAGACATTCTTGGAACCCTAACAAGAAAAGCTCTTTGAGTCAGGAAATCTGCACTAAAATCCCAAAATCTAAAACCAAAGCAGCATCATTGGGATTAATTGTGGCCAAAACAAACATTTTCCTGCAATTTCAAAGTGCAAATTGATTCTGTTGAGACCAGATTTTGTTTTTCCAAACTTTCAAACGATACTGCTGATTTCTGCATATTTTTGTGGATTGATCCTTAAGACCGTTGCTCAATTTGATGTCACATAGCAAGCCACTAACAATTTCAATTCTTTTAGTAGAAATCTGAGCCCAGTCATTTGCATGGCATTTTGTCTCCAGTGCTTCCCCCATCACCAATGTATTCCAGGTTTTTGTTTCTTTTTTTTTTTGGGGGGGAGTGTTCCTCCTTCAGCTCCCTTCCCAGTTCAGATGCAAAAGCAACAAACATGACTCCGAGATGCATTTGCATCAAAATGGCTGCCTGGACAAAAAGCAGGAGATCCAGCTCGTGGAGGGACTGACTGCCCCGCAATGCTCCGCTAGCCATGCGTGTCACTCACACAACCAGGGGTAGTTGGGCCATCTATCGTCACAGCATCCGTTGTTCAATATTCCTTTTTCGGGAGTCCTGAACCAAAGTGAACCTACTAGTAGTGGGTAGGGTACAGCCCCTCAGTGCACCTACACACCCCCAAAAAACCTTCACCTCCCCCGAACCCGCCCACCTTGTCACCCGTCTATTCATCTGAAATGCAATTTCAAAATTTTTTCAACAACTCCTTCTGCAGTTCCCATCGTTTGGCCCCATCTGCCCGGTTCACCCGGTTGCATGCCAAAAACTGCATTTTAGGCTCCGGCTGTAGCTGTGGCTGCGGCTCCGACTCCGGGCTCTGTGACTCCGGATCTGTCTGCTCGGACTCGGGCTCGACAAATGCATTGGCTCGTCCGGCTGATGGAGCCCAGGACTCAGGGACTAACAAAAAAAAGTTTAAACTGGGAAGTTGGAGTGGACCTGAACTATATTTCTATGGTTTAGGTAATAGTCTAATCTTATATTTGATCTATCAAGTAATAGTCTTTTCCTCCTAGTTAAATCAAAAACTTGTTTTACTTATTAAGAAAAGAATTTCGTTTTAGCCCACTGCTGGTGCTTAACAACTCATAACGATTTATTCTCAAGTAAAAACTAAAAACCTTATAATATAACTTTCCTAATACAAATCTGTATTGGTCCACTCTAAAAACACAACCATGGATGCAGGACTCGCACGTTTGATGTACAATATTTGTAGTGCTGCGTCTGGTTTTGGGATCGGGGTTTCGGGCTTTTTGCAGTTTCAATTGGGCTGCAAAAAATTGCAATCTAGGCAAAAATGCAACAAAGGCAAAGAGCTGGGCGTGCATATTCACATGTGCCCCTCTTTAGCCCTCTCCCCACCCCTTAAACTCCACAACTCCATCACTCTCTGTGTGTGTGTGTGTGTGTGTGGATTTTTTCCGAGTGCATCTATGTGCGTGCATGTGCATTCATTTGGGCCAGCTCGCTGGGGCAAAAATGCAAATTTTTTAGCCAACGCCATCTGAAAATAGGATGGCAAAAATTTCTGCATTTTGCAATTTCAAAGCCTGAAAATTTCGTTTGGGGAAAATGCATTCGGGACCGTTGGCCAGCCAGCAGACCGCCCATTTTCCTGGCAGATGGATTGGCATGGATTACAAAGGGGGGCAAAGTATCTGTATCTGGTTGTTTCTAACTCGCAACTTAAAGCTTTAAACAGCCATCCGTAATTTCTACAATTAATTGACCGGAACAATTTCATAAAACTAAAAATTTGCAAATCCCCAAACGATAAATTACGTTGAAAGGACAGTGATGTCACGTTTCCAGCTGGAACCCAAGCCGGAACCCTTTAAAATGTCAAAAAGGGTCGTCGAATTAGAAGTTATGGAAGGTTTTTTTTTTTTGGAAAGAGGAGAGCAGTCAGGAGCCAGACTGTTGCCCAGGGGCAACGTAAATTTTCCAAGTGAAATTAATGACGTTTAAAGAAAAAGCTCTGAGAGAGGGAATGAGAGGGTGCACTGCTGCTGAACAACCCTTTGGCAAAATCTTTCTAATTAAGAAATATCCCAAGCGAACAGCCTCAGCAGCCATTTGCCAAAAAGTGTGATCCTGGACGTTGAGAGGCAGCTGGCATTTGCTCATGCCAAGCCACATCTTGTGGTCCTTGGATGGTCCTTACTGGCCTCCGTCTCGTGCCTCTTTGTGTGCATTGAAATAAAATAATAGTAAAAAGTTAAAATTCTATTCAAATTGTTTGCCAGCTGAAAACAATGTAATTTCATTTTATTTGAATATAAAAGCAAAAACCCCTTCTGCTGCACTGACCATCACCACCTCCACCACCAACCATGTTCTCCATCTTATGCTGAACTGGACTGTCGACTGGCGACTGGACAAAGTCGTCTTTTGTCTATTGGCTAGAAAGAGACAGGGCAGGACAAAAGGACAGAGAAAGAGGCTATATGCCACAATGGTCATCTAACCAGAGCAAGGTTTGTATGATTACGTTAGCAACTTTACCGCAGTTCCTCAACAGAGAACCCAAACTCAGTTCAGATAGTTTGCAAACGCTGCAGGTCGACCAACCACCCCCCTACACTCTTTATCCATCCTCTACCCTCACCATGTTACGACTGCGGTTACTGTGGGTGTTGTGTATTGGCCATGGCTAGAACTGGAGGGTTGGCCATCCGGACTAAGCCCGCCTGTGTGCTTGGATTTTATTGAAACTTTTCTTTGCCGCAAACGTAGCAAGGAATATTTGAAATTTCCACCAGATCCCCCTGCATTTACCCTTTCAAACTTAAGGCTGCAGATCGTGGGGTTTCTCTTTGCCAACTGGCATAATGCATCGAGGTCAGAGTCGGATAGAAGACTTACATACTTATATACCGAGTTTCATATACTCGTATGTGAACTGATGAAATTAAATAATTGATTGCTTTAAGATTGAAAACGAAAATCTAATTGGCGTGTAAGAATTTCGGGACTTAAGTGCATGAGGTTGTGGTCGAAAGGATGGCTAAAAGTTAACAGCATTTATTTAATAAACAAATATGTTTAACGAAAAGAAGCATAAACACTTTAAAAAAAACAACTTCAACTTCTTTCTGGAAAGAAAAATAAATCTAAGCACAAACAAGAAAATTACAAATCTCCAAGTCATACCTTGACTTTTCGATAAAATTTGATTTTCTTTACCTTAAACTTCCCATACATCCCATCAACCCCTTGATTTTCTTTCAAGCTTTAAGGAAACCAAGAACTTTACATAGTTTAAGAATCAACCCTTATGGATAATCCTCCCTTAAGGCAGAACCCTTCTCCTAAGCTCATTCAAAAAGTGCGCCAACGTGCCGTAACGAGCGCAAATTGCACTCCAAACATTTTACGTTTAATGGACGAGAAGGCATCCACAGTCCACACATCCATGTTATTATGCAAGAGACCGAGCCATAGCCACAGACACATACGCACTTACACTTGCACCCTGGGACACGCACACGCAGACCAATGCAAGTGCACAAAGGAAGTGCACGTCCTTTTCGCAGAAAGGACGAAATGCCAATGGAAATGGTCAGGAAGTATGAAGTCATTTGAATTTGAATTCAAAATTTTCTAATAACATTTCAGCTGAAACAATCTAATATCACACACACACACACACACACATAGCAAGTAGCAATGTCCAAAAAGGACGAAAACGAAAGGAGCCACCCACAGGAGAGACGGAGACAACGTCCGTGGTTGCAACTCCCATTTACCCTCACCCTTGGAATAATGCAAAAGCAAAAGTGTTGTTGGTACTAGACGTTGCTCCTGCCTCATCTGTCCTTCTGGTCCTTCTAGTCCTTCTCGTCCTGCTGTGACAGATGAAAGGAATGGGGATGTTGGGTGGTTCGAGTGGACTGAAGTCGACGCCAGAGTCCCCGCTCGTATCTTGGCAATAAAATAATGACTCAACTGAACTGAAAACTAGAAATGTGAAATGTAAATGGCGCACAGGACACCATTACACCCAGCCGCACAAGGACATTTTGCCGCTTGTTCCTTGCACGTACGTACGGCGTCCAACGTTCACCCCGCCACGCCCCTTTCTCGCTTCGCCCACTTCGTCTTTTGTCTGCGTTTTAAATTGTGCAATTTTATATTTGCAAGTTTCTACGTGTCCAACCCCATCCACCATCTCACCAATTGCCATTGCCCATCGTTGACCAATCCCCATTCCCATTTCTGGACACAACCCTTGGCTTTGTAATTGCTGCATGCCTGCGACTGGCCTTGTCTCTGCTTCATCTCCTCCTCGTTCTTTCTTCTTTTTACAGTACGTTCTAACCCATTCCCTCTGGCAGTCCTCTAACTCTGCGTAAGTTTCTCCGTCGCTTTAGTTTTATCTGCCCCAACGGTGGCTTCCATTTACTTAGTGATACATGCATATAAGTATGGTACATTCTGTGTTAGGAAATCTATAAGAAAATATTAAAATATCCAATTTATGTTACTTAGTCTAAAAGACCAAGCTTGCCTTATTAAAATCATATTTCGAATACTGACGATTTTTATCCCCATGTAAGTTATAATATGGGTAGATTGCTGACATACCATTCCATTTACCCCTTGAGATTTTTCATGATTCTCTAGAGAATTTGTTTTAGAGAACTTCCCCATCTTTTTTATCCAACTTGACATGCACAACTGCAGCCACCGCAAGTACAGCAGTTCCGACTATAAAATTATATACAGTGCGACTTGTCCGGAAAGTTGGAAAGGGAACCGAGGGAAAGTTCTTCTTGTCAGCAAAAGGAAAGGCTGTCATATGCATTTATTATGGCTCTTGGCATAAGTTCTCAGTTTTCAGTTGGCTTGGCTCCACTTCGCTTAAATTTGGACAAGAGCTTAACGGACACATTGGGCATATGAAATTCTGGCACTGGAGTAAAATCCATGTGGAGAAGAAACATTGTAGGTATACTCATTCTCCTGCCTTTCGGCTCTTAATAAGCAAATTAATGAATGCGTGGAAGTGCAAATTTGTTTGTGAAAAGGATGAAAAGTACTCGTAGTCGGTGGCGGTATAAAGCCAGCCAAAAAACGAAAAAAACTGGGTATGAGTTGAGTCAAAAGGCGACATCAATGGCTGTCTAAGGTTGGGGGAGTGAATCCCCGGGTAAATTGCTTGTAAAATGTAAGCAGCGTCTAAATTAACTTTTGTTTGCCTTCCATAAATGCCAAATTGCTAGCCATGAGTTGAGGGTGCAAAATAATTACGTAGCGCTGTCTTATTTTAATAATTTCCAGCCATGCAGTGACCAAAAGAGTTTTCCCTTACAAATAAAAAATAATAAACCCCTCCAAAAATTCCAAAATAAAACCCACGACGAGTCCTTCTAATAAATATGCAAATGGCGCATTTAAATACACAACGAGCGGGGGGTATCGGGTGGGATGGTGAAGAGTTTTAGGACTGGACCCGGGGGCAGTGGTCGTTTTTTAATGTCATTTCTTAATAGCTTTGAAATACGTTAAAATCTGAGAGAGGTCTTCCACGGAAAGATGTCCTCCTGCTGATAACGCGCATACGCCACGTAAGCCGATCCAAGCAACGCTGGACACGCCGCCTGGGAACTGGTCACGTAGCCATTAAAACACACAAAAAGTCCAGCTGCCACGCCCCCTTGGTACAGCTTCCTTTTTACGGCCAGTGGCGCCAGGCAGCCAAACCCGAATTAGATGTTGGTGCACCGAAGAAAATTATTTATTTTGTAAAATTCAAAATGTTTTAGACTTTTCCGTGTGTCATTGGGAAATACTGAAAATTCTATTAGCCTTCTTAAGGCTTGGATGTATTCATAAGCTGTATGATAAACATAACCAAGTAGTCCATGAAAACCAATCTTAATACAGAAAATAATAACTCTTCATTGCAAAAATGAAACTAGCTTAGTAAACCTATTCCGTGGGTGTTATTTTGAGAACAAATTCTTAAATAACAGAAGATATTTTCTCAATGTGCTGCCCACTGCCGTAAAAAGCCCCGTACAAGGTGCAAATCCTTGAGATCCTTGTCTGCCCCTCCAAAACCCATCTCGCCACTTCCCTCCTGGGCCACCGTGCCCCTCTCATTTGCGGCGCGTGTGCGTCCGTGTTGGCCCTCAGTAAATATGAAAATAAATAAATCCTAAGCGTAAGCCAAAGTTTTGATGTATGCCCCAAGCAGTTAAAATGTGGGAGGAATGGCTTATATGGAGGCAAGGTGGAGTGGGCGTGGCATACTAAATCCTAGCGGCAAGAGGACGTGAGGGTTTGTGACTATATGTGTGTTTGTGTGTGAGTGTGGGTGGGAGGTCAGTCAAAGTTATTTTAGGGCCACATTTTAAGCTCTTTGCCAACGTGTCCTGCGCATCCTGGCTAAGCCAACGGGCTCCAGCTACGCCTTATCTACAGCACCGCCGCTCCTCCAGTCACTCAGGAAAGACCCCCAACCCCACATCCACCGGGGATTGGGATTTCATGGGGGGTGTTTTAATATTTTAGGTGCTCTAAAGTTACATAACGCGGGGATGGACAGCAGCGCTGTTCTAACTCCTTTCTATGTCCTGCCTTATATGTGTGGCGCATTATTTATCAGCAAACAGGAAATTAGCAAGCGGGCAACCTAACAAAAGGGGTTCGACTATGAATTACCTATTAAATATAGTTTTATATTAATGAAATATAAATTTTAAGGAAGCTAGTTTATTAGTTATGGTATCTATGCCATTATTTATTGATTAGCTGTAACTCCTAAAGATTTCTAATATCACAAAGACATCCCTAACATCCAACAAACTCATCTACCCCAAGGAAACTGAAACTTTTTGCTTATCTTGCTGCTTAGACAGAATTTGCTGGACGAGGCGATGTCCTCGCAAAAGCGAATTTAATTAATTAGACAGACGCTGGCCAGCAGATCCAAGCAGCAGGAAGACGAGGAAGGAGGTAAATGAGTATGCGAAGGCTTGGCTATATACCCCATTATCCAACCCCCAAAAAAACTCATACCATACCCATTACCACCATTGCATGGGGCCACCTCCTTTGTTGCTGCGGTCGTTTCCTAAAAAGTTCTACATGTGTTGTGTGCTACTGGGTGGAGGTCCCTTATCAAATCCACCGCAGCGGCAAAGTTAAAAACTATTAACTAAAATTTTCTATTAAAACTTTTCGCTGAAGTGAAAACTTTGCCATGTTGCCAATGTTGTTGCCGTTTGCTTTAGTGCCCACAAGCAAGTTTAATTTGTTGTAAACTCTTGCGTTTGGGTAAAGCGAACTGAAAGGAAAGCGGAGATGTCCATTCCGGGTCGTCTCCTGTGGCTTTTTTGTGTCTCCAGAAACAAAATGCACAACTTGTTCCTTGTCTCTCTAACTCTATCTAACTCTCTTTCTCTCTCTTTGTCTTTATCTTTCCAGATTGCCCCAAGGACCTGGCCAGCAAATTGCATTTAGCTTGAGCTTAACTAGATGCCCACTAACCGAACTAGTTTTTAAGAAAAACGCTTTAGTAATTCTAGTCGTATGTAGTTTGGCTTTTAGTTGATTTATGAAATGCTTGTGCTTATTATTATTATTAATATAATCGTACATTAAATAAAAATGCTTTGAGTTTACCGCCAATTTTGATTTCCGCTTTTTAATATCTGAGCTAATTGAACTTTCGTGAGAAGGAGCAGCAGCAGAAGCAGCTAACTGGATCGATTTATGGAAATGTGGAACGCAGGTTGGTTGTACTCGAACTCTATATATTAATTCCAGAATTTCTGTAAAAAATACTTTTAATTCGTAAGAAGGAAAGACTAAGATCTATACATATTTTATGCTAATGCTTAATGAAATCCTAAAACATAATCATTATCATAATCATAAGTTTACCCTCAACATTCCAAGTCGCTGCAGGCGCCATCTATAGTCGAGTGTTGGTAACTCCCATGAAAAAAAGGGTTGTAGGTGGAACGCTTTCTAAAATTTCAAATCAGAAAGCTTTGTGCCGAGCTTTCAGCCCGTGCCACTCGTTCAACTTGAATATGCAAATTAGAATATGACTCAAGGGTAGGACTGCCCTTTGAGGATGGTGGCCAGCTCGTTCCAAGTTTCTATTTCGCTGAAAAACCTTCTCAACAGAAGGTTTTTCTCTTTAAATTTATAGAAGAAAGATTTCAAAACAGAACAGAAACAATAATTTTTTAGGCTATTTAATAAACGATTTTAAAGTCGAAAAAAGGTAGACTAATTATAAGAATTATCCTAAAGCTAAGCCGAATATTTACTTAAAACTTCGTTAGACCCAAAATTTCTTCACTAAACCGGATTCCAAGCACTTTTGCCTGAGTGAATCCAAGCGAACATGTCCTCCCCACCCTCAACTTTCTAGCCTTCCTTTGCATAAACATTAACCATTTCGAAACCAAACTCACCAAAGAGCCTGGCTTAAAAAAAAGTCGGTAGACAAGCATTTTTGGACCTTATCAACGACAATGCCAGGTCGTTAGGCTTGCATTCAGAATCTACTGCAGACCAGGCGGTGGATGGTGGTATGTACTCCCAGTGGTTGGGATTGGGTGGCTGGACAGGTGAAGCACAAGATGGCCTGAGGCCAGGGTAAGGTGGGTCCGCTTTCAAAGGCAATCCGGCAGGCACAGAATCAGGAACGGAACAGTCAGGTCCACCAGTCGCACCCTAAGAGTCGGCGTTGGTTTTAATTTTATGACTCGCCAGGGTTAAAAACTTGTGCACATAAAATGGGGAGACATGCAAATAAAATGAAACGGCACAACAATTTTTGAATACAACAAACATTCAACACTGAAAAAAGTTTTGAATTCTGAAAGAAGATTCATTAATCTTTCCAAATCGATTTGTTAGTGGAAATCATATTGGCAAAAGGGGGAACTATTTAAATAATATTTTATACAAAAAACTTTTTATAAACAGAACACTTTTTAATCTTCATAAATGTTTCTAGTTTAGACTCTGTAAATTGACATATGCTAAAAGACCTTTACACATGAAGCTTTTATAAAAACCTCTTCTGTGACTAAATAAGATCATTGAGTAGACAGAATTTGAAAATATTTTTTTTCTGTGTAAAAATCAGAGTATGAGACGCTGAGCTTGGCATGCCTTTAGGCCAAGGCGGTGGCCATGATTTGTTACAGATTTCCTCTCTCGACTAGACTCTGCAATTGAACAGCTTACGGCTCAATTCTCGCAGGTAGCCGAGAGCTGTCAGAGCAAGTTCCTATGGCAGCGTCTCAAAAACAATGGCTAACAAAAAAAACAAGAAACAAGGAAAAATATACAAACAAGTTGGGAACAAAGGATGTGTGCACCTGAGGCACACATTTGGGAAAGAATATTAATGGATCTGTGCCATAAAGACGACAGCTGGCAGACACGAAACAAGAACAAAGCAATGGCCCTAGCCCCGCATTAAGTCGAGCAGAATAAAATATGTGTGCAGTTCTTTGGGGGTGAAGAGGGTTAACGGGGTTACGGAAATTTGTTGCCAAAAGTATGCGACAACAAAGGCAAAAGTTCATCATGACAGTTGAAAAACAATAGAAAACTTTTTGGCTTGCAACAAAAGGAAAAGGAAACATGGCAGCCATGCCATTGTGGAAAACAAAAAGGTATAAAAAAACACAAAAACCAAACCGCCCTGAAGAAGGGTTGTTTGCCTTATGAGGGTTGGTTATCTCCATGATGGCCCTTGCATACTTTTAGGCTTGCGCCTTGAATATTCGTGAAAACCTTTCTCCCCGCCTTTGGCCTTTGAAATGAATTTTAATTTCTTGTCTGCGGTGCCCGCAACACCCAGCCACTCACATCCATTCAACCCAACCCCACCTCCCCAAAAAAAAAAGGAAAACCCCTTGCAAACAGAAGGACCAACGAAGTGAGGGAGCAAAACAAAAAGGAAGAAAGCAAAATCAAGTTGAATTAATTTCGAAAATCATGGCCGCCATGTTCGAGCTGTACTCCTGCTGCCACTGACAGCAAGGACGTGGCCAGGACCCAAGGGGAATCCTGATGGGGGTGATCACCCTTTCCCCTCATCGCCCTCTTGCGCTACTCGAACGTTAATCTGGTCGCAGACGTTCCACGCGATGCGTGTCTCCTGCTTGAGGAGAAGGATGGAAAGGATACAGGGAGACGGTTCTGTCGTCCTGACTGGACGGGACTCATCATCATCATCATCGCCGGCAACCGGCAACTGGCAACTGGCAACAACCGCAAAAGGGGGCAAGGACTCGTGTCACGTAGACGAAAGTAAATCCACTTTCACCCTTGCTTTCCCGAATGCTTTACCCACTTGTTCCTCCATTTTGCTCCTCCTTCAACCGAAATCGCCTTCCTTCATAATTCCTCACTTTCACTGGACAGCCGAATGTTCTTTTTTCTTTTCTTTTTTTTTTTGGTATTTACCATTTTAGACAGGATACGCCGGAAGCATTTTACAATTTATAAAATTACATTTTGGCTCATTAATTTTACTTATTCCAACGGTATTTTGTTTTTTCCCCAATTTGTTTTGCCTTCAAAATGGTTTCTAGCGTATTTTTCACATCTCCGGCTGATATATTACCGGGGTCAGACAATGCCTGACAAATGGCTGAAAGCTGAAGCGATGTCGGGAGGATTCACGCTTATTAATTACCCCAGAACCAGGCTCATCTCCTGGCAGCTCGGCTAAGAAGGTGATTTCAGTTAAATCATCGACAGTTACAAATAGACAAAAATAATGTAAGCAAAGGCAATGAGCTTCTCACATAAATCAGAATAAATTAATATTGAAAAAGAGCAAAGAATGAAATATATGAAAAATGTTTTAACAAAAGAGTTGCTTAAATTTAATTAAAGATTATTAAAAGGCTTTCTGCGATGATATAAAAGAAGTCCAGTCTCATCTTTGATAAACTTGCCACAGAAGAGCAAAGCCAAGCATTGTTAAATATTTCAAATGTCTCTAGACACATAGTTTAATATTACTCAATGGAAAACAAACAATCAATTTATTTGCAACTGTCTCTTCAATTAAGTTGATCTGTTAAGACGATTTTCGATTCACAGTAAAAATGACCCCAAGGCGCATTTGTCTTGCCAGAAATGAAGTCACAGCATAAAACCAGCTTTTATTCAATTAAACCAACTAAGCTCCTCCTCGAGTTCTGCCAGTCAAATTGGGAAAATGCAATTTAAAATTCATTCCAGGAGTAGTGCTCTCTCCCAAAATCAAATTTATCTAACTAACCCTGTTGGACAGGGCCAAAATAATGTAATGCTGGCCACTTATTAAATGAACAGTTTTCCGGGAACCGCAGAACCATAATCCCCCGACCCTTAAAAAACCAAAAATACGAAAAAAAAAAAAATTAAAGCAAAACCCCAAAACGAGCTGCTCTGCGACGATGGCCACTCGCACTAATTAAACAAATATTTAATTATAAAATATTTTACTGCAAAATGCAAGCAGACGCATAAAATTTATAGCTAAACTATTATGCGACACACACATGGGCAAACTCATTTGCAAAGCAACCCCCCAACCCCTAGGTGCACCGCTCAAAACAAAAAATAAAAAAGATATCCCCCATGCACACTATATATTTTCCAACTAAAAGCGCGCAAAAGTTTTTAAATTTAATTAAATTAGAAGCAATTAGCGGGAAAGCTAATAAAAGTTGGCCCAAAACTGCACCATCCAGAGAATCGGTGCGGAAGTTTTGGCCAAACTTTCAGATTACATTTACACACGGATGGTTGGGTGGTTGGTTGGCTTAGAATGGGGGTAAAGAAAGGGGAAGATTCTCGACCAGAATCAAAAGGATAGGAGGCCTTGTCAAGTAATTGGGCAAGGAGCCGCCGCAGTGATAATTGAGTATCACTAAGTGTCATTAAGTGCTCCACTCGATGTCCTTCGATGCGTGCAGGAGGCCTTGCTTTAGTTAGTTAGTTAGTCTATCTGAACCCCTCTCCTTTTTACGGCCTTTTTCTGTTTGCCGGGTCGCCGCTTGGCAAATAACTAAATGTGTTTACTAAACCACTTACTAAACACTCAACCACTGCCGTTGAGCTGGGAGCCAGGGTCGCATTGTTGCTGCCAGGATGCGAGTGCAACGTGACCAAGCGGCTAAAGTTGGGCTATGGCAGAAGGAATAGGACCCCAGGCACACACAGAAAAACTAATTAATCTATTATTAATTTTTGTTAAAAAATTGAAAAATATTTTTATACGAATTTGAAATCAAAATATTTATTGCTTTGATAAGGTTTTAAAGGATTAAGCTTAATGAATGTTTATATAATAAAAAATAGCACATCACTTCTGGAATTTATTTAGATTGAATTTGATTTATGGTTTTTTCACACTTTTTAAAACTTACTGGAAATATGTTTAGATTATTTTTAGTTAAATAAATCATCAAACGGTCATAACCTTTAAAGTTGTATATTTTTTGAAAAGCTTACTTAAACTTCGCTCAATACATTTTTAATATTAAAGTTATAAGATTAGGGTTCAGGTTGTTTCCTATGTTTAAAAGGAAAATAACATTTTGTAACCCAAGTTTACAGAGCTAGTTTTTTGTTTTTAAAAGTTGTTTTGATTTCCTAAAGAA